GGATATCGTCCAGGCGACATCCTATAGTAGAAGCCTTCGATGCCATGGCACCCCTAACAGAGTGAGCCGAAAAAAATGAACTATCGATCCCCGCAGCAGAAAGGAGATCCTTAACCCAGCGGGCAAGCGTAGGCGACGAGACCGGTAGAAATGGTGCTCTCAAGGAAATAAAGAGTGGAGGCAAGTCAGCTGACCTCAACAGCCGAGTACGATCCAAATAAACCTGGAGACAAGCCACAGGACACAAAGCAGGTCTGATGGAGCATCTAGGATAGTCCACCAACTTGGAAGCCGACTTAGTCCTCCTTGAGATATGAAACGACACACCTCCGGGGGTGAACGAGACCGCGTTCCAGTCAAGAGCCCTGACGTCCGATACCCTCTTGCACGAAAGTAGACATAGAAGCATGACCAGTTTCCATGATAACTGTTTGAGTGTCAAGTCCTCATTACAGGGCCAGGAGTCCAAGAAACCAAGGACAACGTTAACATCCCAAAACGATGAGTATCTAGATCTCAGAGGTCTAGCAAAACGGATACCTTTCAACAAGTGGCACACAATAGGATGTTGCCCAATCGGAGAGCCGTCGATCCCTTGATGTCCGGCCGAAATGGGCGATCTATAAACATTAAGGGTACGATAAGCCAAGCCAGAATCGAAACGCTCCGTCAGGAAACCAAGCAGCGCATTCAAAGGGGCAGAAAGTGGATCCAGCAATCTCCCCAAGCACCAGCCAGACCACACGCGCCGTGCGGTCTTATAAGCCGCTCTGGTACCTGGTGCCCAGGCATTCTCCAAGAGTCGAGCAGTCATCTGCGAAACGTCCGTGACACACCAGGGTCTCCCGAGATTAACCAAACCGTGAGATGGAGTAAGTTCTGATCCACCAATTCGTGCAAGTTCCCATCCAGATCCAGAAGCACATCCGGCCTCATTTCGATCATCCGTGGGAAATCTATGGCCATCTCCAGAAGGCGGGGAAGTGCCAGAGTGGAACTACCATTACTATCGTGCAATCCTGTCCGGTCGAGTACGCCAGTGTCCGGGATATCAGGTTGAACGGTGGGAACGCATAGTGGCGTCCCAGCGGCCACGTCTGTAAGAATGCGTCCACCGCAGTGGCCGCCAGGTCCGGCCTCCAACTGAAGTACTGGGGTAGTTGGGTGTTCAGTCTGGACGCGAACAAATCCAGGTGAAGTGGACCCCATAACCGGTCTATCCTTTGAAAGGTCGAGGATAGCAAGTGCCAATCTCCTGAATCCTTCAGGTAGCGTGAGTTCCAATCCGCCCACTCATTGTGTTCGGCCGTAACCAATACAGCGTTGTGGAGGCAATGCTGCCAGAAATCCTTTGCCAAGTTCGCCAACTGCTTAGATTTTGTCCCCCCAAGGTGGTTTATGTACCTGACCGCGGACACATTGTCCATGCGTAGGAGAACGCAGCAATTTCCCTGTGTCGGAGATAGACTCCGAATGGCGAACAAACCTGCCAGAAGTTCCAGGCAATTTATGTGCAGAGCCGATTCGATCTCTGACCATCTTCCACCGGTGGAGACACCGCCACAGCGAGCGCCCCAGCCATGCAGGCTTGCATCCGACTCTATTATCATGTCCGGCGCGGAGCCGAAGATCGCCCGGCCATTCCAGGCCTCCATGTGGTCCAACCACCACCTTAGTTCGTCTTTGGAGTCCCCGTCCAGGGTCAACACGCTCTCGTACGAGCCCCCTGAGCGAAGATGGGACCCCTTCAAACGTTGTAGGGCTCGATAATGCAGCGGGCCCGGAAATATCGCCTGAATCGATGAGGCCAACAGGCCGATCACTCTCGCCAATTGCCGGACGGAGAGAGAGGTGGCTCGCAGCGCACGTCGTATCTCCTTTTTCATCGATCGGAGTTTTGCCTCCGGGAGGAACAGAAACTAGGTGACTGAATCGACTTCGAAGCCCAGGAACTCTATCCTTTGTGCCGGGGTCACAATGGATTTTTCTCAGTTTACGAGGAAACCCAGTCCCTCCAGGAGATTCACCGTCCATCCCAGGTGCCTGAGAAGTTGCTCGGGGGATGAAGACATAATCAGTATGTCGTCCAGGTGGATAATCATGCGGACCCCTCGAGCTCTGAGGAAGGCCACCACGGGCTTCATCACTTTCGTGAAACACCACGGAGCTGAAGATAGACCGAACGGCAGACACGTAAACCACCATCGACGACCTTGCCACGTAAAGTGCAATAAGTCCCAATGCTCTTCTGCCATGGGTATAGTCAAGTATGCATCTTTGAGGTCTAATTTGACCATCCAGTCTCCCTGACGGAGCAGGTCTCGGAGACAATGAGCGCCCTCCATCTTGAAGTGATGGTAACGGAGGAAAAAATTTAGGTGTTTGAGGTTTATCACCGGACGCACGCCACCGCCTTTCTTGGCGACAAGAAACAAGTTGCTTAGAAATCCTGGGTGTCCGTAGGGGATTTCCTGAATAGCTCGTTTGGCAGACAGTTCCGCGATCTCTGCGGTAATCAATTCGGACTGCTCTGCTGGCAGTTTCAGTTCCTGTGAGATAAACGTCTGGACAGGGGGAGACAATAAATCTAGGCGGAAACCCCTGACAGCATTGAGAACCCAACCATCTGTGGTGATCATACCCCACACATCGAGAAATAACGCCAATCTGCCCCCCACACTTGTTCTGCAAAACACACGTTTTGGGGTACTCACCGTAAGGGCGTCTGTATGAGGGTTGTCCACGACCTCCCTGACTCTGCCATGGTCTACCCCGCGAGGGAAAAAAGGGCGTTGGCTTGGTAGGTCCGGGGGGCGGAAAAGGAACCTCTGTGAGTCCGCGGGGGACCTCGAGCTCCACGGCCGGGCGGACGGTTCCTATTCCTCCCGGCCCCATGGGAAACCTTAGGGCCGAAAACCCTCTTCAGGTTAGACTGCGCCTTATCGAGCGCGGTGAAGGTACGAACAAAGGAGCCTAAATCCTTAATAAAACATTCTCCGAAGAGCATACCTTTGGCCGAAGCACCCGGCTCCTTCACTGCCAGGTTAACTAACTTGGGCTCAATTTGGAGCAGAATCGCCTTGCGACGTTCAGCCGACATGGCTGTGTTCGCGTTGCCAAGAAGGCAAATCAACCTCTGGACCCACCCAATCACCTCATCGAAGTCAATAGGCTTCGTTCCAGCCTTAGCTGCTTCCAAAAGCTCATAAAGCTTGGCAGTGGGGCCCAGGGTATCCAAGATCTTGTCTTGGCAATTATGCAGTGAAAATTCCAGTCCTTTCCGGGGCTTCCAACCCGTCTTAGTTAGGAACTAAGAAATCTGAGGGTCAACCTCTGGCGTCTTGCACACCGCATCAGGCACCGAAGGCCTTGGGCACTCGGCCCTCAATTTACTGCGCCCCTCCTTGGAAAGGGGGGTACGCATACGAAGCGCCAGATAATTGGCAATAAGCGCGGGCGGGTCCCATTCCGCCGAGCGAGGATGGCGAAGGTCATCGGGATCGAACAGGGGGTAACCCTGAGGATCACAGATGTCCTGCCCCTCACCTGGAGGAAGCGCCAAAGCGTCGAACTCCGCCTCATCGCCGGAAACCCCTTCCTCATAGGAGGCGTAATCAGGGGGATCCGAGTCCGACTTTCCAGTTTGATCGGTATCCGATCCATCGTCATCACGGGCACGTGCCCGTTTCCATTTTCTGGCCGATTTTGCCCGGCCAGCGGCTCTCTTGCGCGGAAACGCGACATCTTGGACGGCCATAGGAACGTCAGTCAGGGCAGGTATCACCTGCGTCACATCTGGAGAGACATGTTTAAATTTTGCTTGTGCCTTGCGACCCGTCTGAGGCTGCAGCGCAGGCAGGGGAGCAGGCAACACGGCAGGGCCCAAAGGCTGCGACAGCGCCTGCTGAATAGTGTGAGAGAGGGATGAGGACACGGTCCCCATGGCCGAAGCCAGGGCCTTCGGCATGGTGGAATCAAAAAGGTCCTGGAACTCCTGGGAGGGAGTAAGGCCCATATCCCCTGTAATAGGGGTCTGAGAGGAGTCCATAATGGGGTAACTGGGACTACCAGCACCCTCACCCCTAGCCTGCATAGTGAACAAAGCCAAATAGAACTGCAAGTACTGCCCCTTTAAATATCAGACACAGGAGCAGAGCAAAAAATGTCAAACCTAAACTGACCTAGAACAGATGACAGTAAAATAGACCTAGACAGTAGAGGGGTTGAGTAACCCACCAGGAAACAAAAAATACACAATACTTGCACAGCACATGGGAGAGGTAAAGGGAGCCGACCCAGCCGCATGGAACACGAGGTGAAGATGGCTGCCGTGCGCAGGACGCGCCGCGGCTGCCTCCAGGCTCCTCCCCTACCAATGGCCGGGGAGCGCGACCACACACGTGGCCGGCACTCCCTCGCACCAGCGGGAGATCGGGTCGGCAGATAAGTGCGGCCGCACACGCGGCCGCGAGGGGAAAGGGAACTGGGGAGCACAGGGCTCCAGAATGAACCTCCCCTGCTAGCCGCAAACCCTGTCTGGAAAGGGAACGGCAACACAGACAGGGGAAGCGGCGGGCAAACGCAGGGGAGGCAGAATATAAAACCAAAAGAGGTTCACAAATTTACATAAAAACTGAGATAAAACATGCCAATAAAACAAATAAATGCAAATAACAATCAGAAAAGTGATTACAGGAAATAACACAGGTAAAATAACCTTAGTAAAAACCCATCAATCAAAACAATGTAGGAGAGAAAAAATTATACTTAGCTGGTCTGAGGACAGCAGCAAAGAAAGAGGAAGTGGAAGTACAAGGATAGAGATTTATGGACTGTTCCTAGAGACTGATTGGCTGCCCTGTTACTAGGCAGATATGGTTGTATATGTTATACATTGCTTATATTCTACTTATTTTTCTCTTTCAGTTATATTTCTCTTTGCTGCTGAGGAATAAAGTAAGAAAGAGATAGCATAATAGGAGCCTCCGTGTCATTAATAAAATTGAAGATTTACCTCAAAAACAATGCATTATACTTTTGGAATGACTAGAAACAAAAAAGAAATGTACAGTCCTCAGTTGCATTGTAGTTTATGCTTGCCATCTCTGCATTCCAGTTATTGAATCCTGAGCCAAGCACCAACAAAAGTAGGGGGAAAGCCATGCCAATGTGATCTTCCTGCACAGGTGTTTGAAAAGGGGTAAGTCCATTTAGAAGCATTTGTGTTGAACAATGGGTAGTCCTGATTCATCAAACTCTTGCTTGCTGATCCACATTTGTTGGAAGGTGGACAGAGAAGCCAAGATGGATCCTCCAATCCTGACAGAGTATTTACGCTCAGGTGGGGCAATGATCTTGAATTTCATAGTGTTGGAAGCCAAGGCAGTGATTTCTTTCTGCATTCTGTCAGCAAAATCTGGGTACATAGTGGTACCTCCAGACAGGACAGTGTTGGCATAGAGATCCCTAATGTCCATGTCACACTTCATGATTGAGTTGTAGGTAGTGCCATGAATGCCACATGACTCCAAGGAACCAAGGAAGGAAGGCTGGAATAAGGCTTCAGGGCACCTGGATCTCTCGTTACCAATGGTGATGACCTGGCCATCTGACAACTCATAGCTCTTTTCCAAGGAAGAAGAGGAAAAAGAGGAAACAGCAGTAGCCATCTCCTGGTCAAAGTCAAGAGCAACATAACAGAGCTTCTCCTTTATGTCACGGACAATTTCTCTCTCAGCAGTGGTTGTAAAGCTGTAGCCTCTTTCAGTCAGGATCTTCATGAGGTAGTCTGTCAAGTCACACCCAGCCAAGTCAAGACACATGTTGTCATGAGGCAGAGCATAACCTTCATAGATTGGCACAGTGTGTGCAAGACAACACAGCCTGGATGGTAACATACATGGCTGGTGTGTTGAAGGTCTCGTAAATGATCTATGTCATATTTTCATGATTGGCTTTAGGATTCAGCGGGGCTTCAGTCAACAGCAATGGGTGCTCCTCTGGGGTAACTCTCAGGTCATTGTAGAATGTGTGATTTCAGATCTTCTCCATATCATCCCAGTTGGTCAAAATTCTGAGTTCAGTTGGATATTTCAGGGTCAAGATACCTCTCTTGTTCTGAGCTTCATCTCCTACATATCTGTCTTTTTGTCCCATACCAGCCATGACACCCTGGTGTCTGGGGCAACCCACAATTGATGGAAATACTGCTTTGCACATACCAGAGCCATTGTCAAAAAACAGGGCAGCAATGTCGTCTTCCATTGTGATCGTGAGGGGTGGCTGTTTTTGCTGTGCTGCAAATACTCTCCCAAACGTTTTTTTAAGTACCTAGGTATGTCAAAAAAGTTAGGAGTGAAAGTGTTGGTCCATTGGAAAGTGAGATGGATGAGTTAATGAAGAAGGATCAGGACAAGACAGAAATTCTAAATAATTAAATTTCTTCAGTACATAAGGAAGAAGAATCTATAGCTGTATTTTTGCAAATCCCTGTTATAAACGCCTTACAGCAAACATGTATTTGGTTAACAGATGATACAGTACTTCAGAAATTAAAATGTTTTAATGTAAACAAAGCCCCAGTGCCAGATGGTATTCACCTACGTGTGCTTTGGGAGCTTAGTGTGGAAATATATCAATACCACTGTTTTTAAATTGTCATCATTATTTTCTTTCAGAAGATTGGAGAAAAGTAGATGTGGTGCCTATATTTAAAAAGGATTTACAAGCTTTACACATAAACTACAGACCCAGGAACTTAACATATGTGCTCGGGAGATTATTTGAAGGGCTGTTAAGGAATAGTATTCATGAATTCATTTTGAACAAAAATATCATAAGCAGAATACAACATGGTTTTATGAAATAGAGATCAGGCAAAACTAACTTAAAGGGACACTGTAGGCACCCAGACCTCTTCAGCTCATTGAAGTGTCATTGAAGTGTCCCTTAACCCTATAGTGGTAATTATTGCAGTTTCTGAGAACTCCATCTCTACTGGCTGTCTACTAGACAGTCACTAGAGGGACTTTCTGAACTGAAACGGACCTTTGGTCCGGTATCTGACGCTGGACATCCTCACACTCTTTATCAGGACTTCCAGTATCAGATTTTTCCTCATAGGAAAGCATTGAGTAATACTTTCCTATGGGGAAATCCTAACGCGAGTGCTGCCATTGCCGCGCATGCACATTAGGTCTCCCCCACCAGCCGATGTCGATGGGGGACGCGTGGGTGGGGCCTGACCCAGCGCCGAAGGACATCAGCACTGGATTCAGGTAAGTGACTGAAGGGGTTTTAATGGCTTTGTTTTCCTGGCACTATAGAATCCCTTTATTTGTGTTACTAGTGAAACTTTCTTTAGATTAAATATCATGTTCTTGGATGAAATAATGACTTAAAGATAGAGTACAGAGAGTATATGTCAATGGAAAACTTTCAAACACATCCCACAGCTACTATCCCCAAAATAAACCCGTCAACCTGTACCTGTGTGTGACTGTGACTGTGTGTAACTATGTGCCTGGGCCTGAGTGTCTGTGGCTGTATTTGACAGTGTATGTATATAACTGTGTACATCTGACTATGGGACTGTGTGCATGTGACTCTGCAAAATTTGACACCCGCATTGACACCTGTCTAAGGCAAAGGAAAGGTTTTTCTACTGTAAGAACAATCAGGATGTGGACTTCTCTGCCTGAAGAAGTGGTTTTATCAGAGTCCATACAGATGTTCAAACAGCTACTAGATGCATACTTGCAAAAACAGAATATTCAAGGATATAATCTTTCAATGTAGGGTAATAACTGCTTGATCCAAGGATAAATCTGACTGCCATTCTGGGGTCAAGAAGGATTTTTTTCCCTAGCTTGTTGCAAAATTGTGCTTCAAACTTGGTTTTTTTGCCTTCGTTTGGATCAACAGCAAAAAACAAATGTGAGGAAGGCTGAACTTGATGGACGCAAGTCTCTTTTCAGCTATGTAACTATGTAACTATGTAACACATCGGCCAACATGCATATTTTTTTCTGAATTAAATATCTATCACACTCAGCCAATAAGCATAGCAAAAATATCACACAAAGCCAGTACAGACATATAATCACACATAGTCAATACACCCATTACATATATCACACACAGCTAACAAATAGCGTAGATATCACACACAGCCATTGTGCCTATTAAACACAAACACACACATTATATCATATTATTGTGAGATTTATTACAGATGAACTCGGTCATACAAAATACTCTGTGTTTTATAGATGGGGAGCTCTGTGATACACTAACAGGCACATTTGTGAGAGTTATATTGTTGTAAAGCTCTGTGACATACCCAGCGAGAGTATGATACAAGAGATCTGCACCTTTCTAATGCTGTTTTTACATATACACACAAATAAATGCATAACTAAGTGCATGCATATTTCTATTACAGTATATTTATTAAATTATGACTTTTTTATTTAATTTTATTTTATTTTTATATTCCCACATTACATTGCATGAGACAGACTTAGTTAAGAAACATATACAGGAATATTTTATGGAATCTGAGAGGTATTTATGTATAGGTGTAACAACACAGTATAGTACAGTTAGAAAAAAAATTAGTTTTAACTCAAGCACATTGGGGTTGAATTTTGCAGTCTGATTTTCAATTCATTGGAATAAGTGTTTTTAATGTATCAATCCAATTTAATCACATTTTTTCTAGTATTGGAAAAGTTATAATACATAACTTATCAATCACTGATTGGTGAAACATGTATAAAATTATTTGATAGACAGAGATAGTTGTGAAAATCACAGATTCATCATGTATGAAATCCTCACAACCCCCAATCTTACTCATAAAAGGGTCACTAGAGACATTTAGATTACAGTTATTCTCGTGTTTATATTTAATGTTTACGTTTAATAAATATTCTATTAATGCAAAAAAGCATTCAAGCATTTTTAAAATTCATTTATAGAATTTGATAACACAACCTCTTCAGACAGAGAATTCAACATCTCTGTTGTTCTTACTGTAAAGGACCCTTTCCTCTGCTGTAAGTGAAAATGGCTTTCTTCCAGGCTCAGTGGTTTACCTTTTGTCCATATTCCTGCTAATGAACAGGTTAGCACATATTGGTTTGTACTGACCCGGTATATATTTGTAGAGTGCTTTCATTTCAGCTCTAAGGTGTTTTAATATATATATATATATAAACCACAATTCCAGTTTTTCTATAATTTCCTTATAACTAATGTTTTCCATTCCCCTTCCTAGTTTTGTAGCTCGCCTCTGCACTTTTTCTAGTTCTGCAACATATCCTTCTTTGAAGCTTCTGCCCCAAATTGCACAATATATTTAAGGTGGTGGTCTTACTATTGATTTGTAAAGAGGCAAAATTATTTTGGGATCATGTAAATCAAACCCCCTATTTATACATCAAAGCATCTTATTAGTTTTTGCACACCGGAATTGCATACTGTTGCCTAATTTGTGATATATAATTGTTCCCAGGTACTTTTCATTGAATGTTATACCTAACTCTACCCCTATGTAATGTATAAGTGGCTTGTGTGTTCCTTATTCCAAAATGTATGACTGCATTTTTCTGTATTAAATCTCATCTGCCACTTGCCTGTCAAGTCCTCCAATTTATTCAAATCCCTCAGTAGAAAAGTTATATCATGTTCAGACTATATTTTCTTAGCTAGTTTTCTGTCATCTCTAAACACTGAAAATCAGTTGCACATGATGAGCTAAAACCAGATTGATATCTGATCGGGAACCCATCGAAGGGTATGCTTATTGATATGTTGTCCGTTCTCAGTATTCTCTTGCACTCTGGTTTTTGCTGTCCCCAAGTTTAAAGGTGAATGCAGACGTGGAAGCCCTAAATGGGTATTGGCTATACCTCACTGACAAAGTAACAAGGCTAAAACGATCTTCTGGGGTTGCTGCATCTCTTGTGCAGAGAGAGCTGGCCTGCATTTCGGATCTGGATTATCGTTTTGGGTGGGTTCAGTCTGATATGCAAATAGCCTAGGTTCTCTTTGTGATAGCACAATATGAGCTAAAACCAGCTTGAGATCTGAGCAAGGACTCTTCAAAAAGCAAGCTAACTGAGATGTTGTCTGTGTTCTCTAGCACCCTGCCTTTTGCTCTCTACTTAGGAGATACATTCAGTAAAGCCTTTAAAAGTTAAATGACCATCATAATTGGTTGAGTTTTTTGTTGTCTTGTTGATAGTTCCATGCAGATTTGTCATGACACCTGTCCAGTGTGCGTGCCTGAAGTGCGTTACTTTGCGATCCGTATACTCACTGCAAGTGCCACCCACGTTTCTCTCCAATGAAACTGCTCCTCCTTCTGGTGTCCTTACAGACACCAGCTACTGCATGCCGTAAGGCTCAGTCTCCTCTGACATAGTTAAATACACGAATGTGCTTTTGTCTTCATACTGGTGACGCTCGTACACATTCTGACGTCAGATGGAGTAAAGTGACCAATGGTTGCTCTTCTAAAACTATAAAATCCCCTTTTCAATTTTGTACTGTGCCCTGTCGTGATTTCCATTTTATGGTTATCAGAGAGTGTGTTTATCTTGTTTGTATCATTTAATTTCCTGACCTTGGCTTGGTTATTAACCCATTTCAATTTATTCCTTAACCTTTGGCTTGTCTTTTCGCACTTTATCTCACTCTGTGTCTCTGGCCTTGGCTTGTCCTATACTATTCAATTTAGCATTAAGTCCAACTACTCTGAAGCCCAGTAATACACTTTATTATTATGATCTAGTTAAAAGAACACTCAACTGGCCAAATACTAAATAAATAAAAATCACTGTTTAGTAGCTGTACCCCAAATGAAAACTTGCATTCATTTAATTAAGTATTTTTTCTTTAGCGATATATCTAAAAACAACTTGCAAAAACTGCAGATCTCTTGTCTGCTTCCTTTGCAGGCTCTCCTCTTCTAACTTCGCCCAGACTTTCCGTAGCTGTCCAATCACAGACTTCCCAATACAGCTCAATGAGATGTCTTTGTAAGTCAGGTGCTCTGGGCAATTGCTGCCTCTTGAGGTCAGCTGCATTGAGCTAATGAACACAGGAAGTAACATTACCTGTTATCTGCATGAAAGCCATGGGGGTGTAACTAGGTTAATTTTTAAAAGTGCCGATTTCTTTTGAAAAAAAAAAGGACACACTATTCCCACGTAAAGCTTTTCAGCAAGCTAAAGTTGTTTAGGGGTCTGGAGTGTCCCTTTAAGTTTAGCTGTGTATTGATGAAATACTGTGTATTGAGTC